TAAAAATAGAAATGCACATTTTTCTCAATAACAACTTGATGTTTAAATTTTTATTTTACGTCAGAATGTTTCCCCATCATGATTATTCAATTACCTTTTGTGAAATTACTTCGAATCCGGCCGGATCGAAAAAGTTTTTTCCTAGTTGTTCGATCTTTGTATTAATACCTAATTAATAATATATATATATATATATATGTATATATATATATAAACAATTATAAAAAAAATTTAATTTGGTTTATTATATAAAAATAATAATAAACCAAACTTGATGATTTTTTTTTATAAATTTCATCTATTTTAAGAGCGATTAATCCCTAGTAAGTATTTTTGGTTCCCTAACTTAGTATGCCCTCTATAGAAACAACAGACTCACTCAACACTCTCCCTGCTGTTAAGACCCTTTTGAACTAACAATTAGGCGTGTACTTCGAAATGGATCCATTCATCTCAGTGTAAACTTATAGTAAAAACAATCCCGTTATCACGTAATGTTCTTATTACTGGAAGTGCCGCAGTGAATTGGTGCCGAAAATTTATCATGTGGCAAAGTTTTATAAAAGGAAAATGGTAACCCAAAATCATCATCCAAACTCACATTTTGCTCTTTACCGTTAGCTTTTACGACTCTGGCTCAACACAATGTATTGATTTGGAGGATCAAACCTCGTACCAAGTTACTTTTGGATATTCTGTTTATATAGTAACAGACAGTACTTATTTTAATTGTTTTATTCTATGTCGCCCAATTTTTGTCTTGTTTAATAATAATAATTACCTTGACTGTAAAGGGATCCCGTCGTTATCTATGGTTACATATGGCAACGAGCAAAAATGCGTCGCTCAGCTATTCTTTCATATCACGGCGTGTAACGTCTGCCATATATTATGAAATTGTTGCTGACATCGTACCTATCTCATGATATTCCCATGGCTCACATGAAGCAATGGATGAGTCAGTTTGAAAATCGGTTCACACATGAAAGGTGTCAGAAGTTACATAAATAATGGAACACATTACCTTCCATTTAGTTTCACCATAGTTATCTAATTATATTTGAGCATCATTTTAGAAAAGCGATGAATAGTTGCTAATGCATATGACGTTAACATAGTTTAATTACTCTTTATCAAGAGAGCTTTACATTTTAAGTCAGGGCGGAAGTCAAAACGCAAAATATCGGTCGAAGAAAAGTCCTATTGAAAAAAGCACTATTTTTCATGCTTCATATCCAGGATGAAATCTAGAGCCCTGTTTGCAACTATGGAAACATTTTGATTGCCGTCCACCGCCAGTCGCGCTCATAAACCACTCAGTTTCGCTGATTACAGCGCTACGTAATTAGACCGCCTTAATGACGCCATAGACGTGCCTCGCAACAGACTACTTTGCATACTATAATGTGACTCTAGCAAGTAATACATTTTCAAAAAGGTAAAACTGATATGCATGTCTTAGCATTTTACGTAATTACGATTGCACAAGCTGTACCCTAAAATATATCAAATTAAAGTCACCTGAAATCAAATATTATACCAGCACTAAAGTAGATTAGGTAATTCGAAAATATTAACACCAGTTCCCCCGACGTTGCGCATTTATTATTAAACATTGGCAAACGTCATAAGCAAGCCGCCTTTGCTTAAGCTCTCCTTTTTTGAGTCTAGGGCATATTTCTAGCTTTATTGCGATTCGTTAAGACTCATTTTCAGGCCACAATATTTTTTCCCACTTCCTTTGTAACCGCAAGCATATAAAATGTCTGTGACATCGTAACTTTCGACGGCATTATTACGCCTCCTCGAATGTGTGCCTTATTGCCTTACCACACCACCATTTCACAACCTCCTGTTTATCGATACTCGCTCTGAGTGCCTACTAAAGTGCAACCCCCTAAACAAGAGTTGCGGAAAAGAATGGGCGCGATCAGTTTTATTAAAATATATAGCAAAGTACGTCCTGCAGCGGGTGACCTGAGAGAGCAGAAAAGAAATTAAAATAAAATGGCGTACCCGTTTGAATAATGAATAGAAAGCACCAATAACCAGGTTAGTATGCACTTTTCGCAAAGTATGTACCTATAAAAGACAAAACCTGTAGTACATGGTCGAAACGTGATCTACGTTTTTTTACCTTGTTTTATCTACGTTCCTATTTATTATGAAATGCCTTTCTCATTTACAATCGTAAACGTTTTGAAAGGCGCGTCGCAGTTCGTAGCATAGTTTTATGTGACCGGGCACGAGTCAAAAGATGATTGTTTCCACGTTCCTGCCTGACAAAACGCTCTCCAAGCGAGAACGTTGCGAAGCTACGCTCAAAAAGGGCAAAACTCAACGGAAGCGTAGGCAAAGGGATGGAATCTTTCAGAACCCCGTTGAATAGCGTCGAGTGTTTCAAATTACGACCTGAGTTTTATAGCGTATACAAAAGTAGTTAAGGTTTAGTTTCTACCTCCAAAACAATACGTATATTAACATAAAACTTTTTAAATTAAAACACTGCTTCAAAAACGGCCATTTTTTATCACACTGTTCGTTGGACGCAATATGTTTCCGACATGTATCCGACTCTACAGCTGGTACAGAGCTCGAGAATTTATTTTTTAAATTCGTCGCATAAATATGCGCATAAAGGGATCCAATTTGATTTCATTAAAACGTTCTCGGTTATGAATCCGGACAGAATTTTCAACTTTGTGCCCGCTTTTTGGGTCGGAATCAGTAATCAGTAGACTGAAAATTTTTAATATTGAATTACCGATACACCCATATCAATTTGTTTACCAACTCATTGTGTATTTACCAACTTAGTTGAGTAAATAAATAATAGTTGAGTAAATAAAATAATATATATTTTGTCTATTTTTATGCTGTGTCTGCCGTTACTTATTAATATTTACATACATACGTATACATACAGAGTCAGAAGAAAAGTAATCATTATCTGTTTTAGACTCTAGCGTTGCCCACGATTGAGACGACCAGTTTTTTAACTTTTAAATGGTATATTATTGTTTATGTGTTAAAACAACAAACTGAGATTTTTAAAGACATCACATCATACTAATGCATACATTTTCTTGTTGATTCGTAGTTTGTTGTTCTATGCATATTTTACTTATTTGAGTTCAACGCCACTGCGGTCTGTAGAACATTATTCAATTCAGTTGTCGAGACTCGAGGACCTGAGGTAACTGCGGAAATTACGACTGCAGGTGCCTTCAGATACGATACATACGATACATGAGCACTCCCAAATACCTCGGAAACGATACCCAACTTGGCATTATTGGAAAAATCGTGTCCGCCATCTTGGATTTAGAAATGAGTGCCATACTCGTATTGAGCATCCCCAAATACCTCGAAAAGGATACCCATATTGCTTTTTTTTTGAAAAATCGTGCCTGCCATCCTGGATTTACAAATAAGTGCTATATTCGTAATGAGCGCCCCCAAATATCTCGAAAACGATACCCGACTTGCCATTATTTGAGAAATCGTGCCCGCCATCTTGCATTTAGATGCGAGAAGTCGTGTCCGCCGTCATGTATTCAGATATTTCGCCATTTCCATAAGGATTACCAAAAATATTTTTTTTTGGAAAATTCTTGGCAACCATCTTGGACTTAGAAATTAATGCCACATTCTCAATAAGCACTCCCAAACAACTCGAAAACGTCTATGTCGAGTATATCTGTAGGCACCTAATCGGCATTGTCGATCGACAATGTCGATCGTATCTGTAGGCACCTACAGATAACCACAAATTACACCCAAACTCGTTTTGCCAATTACATTAGGAGGGATTACAATTAGACGTAACTAAATAAATAAAATAAAACATTTTTAATAATAAATAATAAAAAATTAAGATTTAAGGGCGCTCCCTCACCGCGAGCATTCGCCTGTAATGTACCGATCACAAGCACCGATTGAAGTTGTGGGTCTGTTGAGGTATTGGTCTGTTGAGGTATACGGGAGCCAGACGAATCATGTGCGTTGGGGCGACACGACGTCTAGCGGATATAGGTTAGACTGCCGCATTTGTCAGGGAGGATAAACTTCTTCGGACCATTTCAGCCTTTACATCAATGGGTTGATCGGGGAGCTGAGGAAAGCCAATGTCGGATGTCACGTAAGAGAGGTGTGTGTGAACACTCTCAGCTACGCTGACGACATGGTGCTTCTCAGTTCCTCGATTGGAGGCCTGAGAAAGCTGCTTTCAATGTGTGAGCGCTATGCTAGGGCTCATGGATTGAAATACAATGCCACAAAGACAGAGATAATGGTCTTCAGGGCTTGGAGGGGTCGGAAGAAGGTTCCGGATGTTTTCCTGAACGGTTCACTAATAACGAGAGTGCAACAGTTTAAAAACTTGGGCATGTTCTTACAGACGATTTCCACGATGATTTAGATATTGAACGAGAAGGGCGTGCTTTATGTGTAAGAAGCAACATGCTGGCGCGTAGATTTGCTAGATGCAATATTTTTACAGTTGTTGGAATTCAATATAGATTGCATGAAAATATTAAATAAAGAAACGTATGAGCTAACTTTTTTTTCCATCCTCTAAGGAGCTAACGGAGTCAAACAAAAATTATTTATGGCGTTTTTTTTAGGATTTCCCTGATTTATGGTTGACTATGTCTACTCCTTAGTAGCTAGTCAACCTTCAAAAAGTGAAGTGACATAATATTTTCAACAATGCAGTCAATTCATATCATAGAATAAATATATATTAATGCATATAATGCAGTACATATATGAGTTTGTACATGGTTTGTACTATAGCGTGTGTAGCGCTTTGTTCTTGAAAAGCTAATATTACGAAAAATTTTATACGTTGCGTTGGTGATAATCAGGTAAGTACCTACATAGTACAGATATGTAGATACACGCAATACAACGGTAATAATATAACAATTATTTTTAGATCGACAATCGTGTCTAGAATAATGCTAGTGTTATAGGTACACGTACGTCTAAAACCAGACATTGGTGGTCGTTCCATGGCAGCGAGAGCAAAAGCGGCGGCGCTGGTGTCGCGCGCGCTGCGCCTGCGGTTCTCCGCATGTCTCGGCGGCTCAATCCTGCTCCTGACGTTTCTGCACTTCTTCTTGTGCGGCTCTTACAATTATCCATACATCTCACGTGCCTTTGTGCTAGACGACTTATATAAGAAGTTGAATCCTCAACTAGAGCTGTCCAAGTCAAAGCCACAGTGTGACTACAGCCGCGTGTTGGCCAGCCGGAAGAGCATCAACGCCTGGGAGGTGCCTACGTTTCAAAACTATAACGACCTGCCCCTAGACGACTTAGTGAACGGTAGTTTCGCCCCAGCGCAGTGCAACCCGCTCGTGAGCGTGGCGGTCATCGTCTCGTATCGCAGTCGGGAGGAGCAGCGCAACATCTTCTTGCCGTACATGCACAATTTCTTGCGTAAGCAAAACATTCATTACAAGTAAGTAAACCAACTGTGAAACAACAGTCAGCCTGTATATAGTCCCACTGCTAGGCACAGGCCTCTTCTCATAATGGGAAGGCCTAGGCTATAATTGTCACACGAGTCCAATGCGGATGGGTGAACACGCATCATTAAATTGCTTTGCAGATGTGTGCAGGTTTCCTTACGATGTTTTCCCTCACAAAAAAGCACATGATCAATTTCAAATTAAAACTCCGAAATACGGGTATGCCCAATTTGGTCACCCAACGATAAATCCCGAAATATTAATGCTCTACCTTGCTGGTTGGCGACCGGAAGGGAGGACCAGGTGGCCATCTCTTGGGGGGGTTTCGGGCGTCCCCGCGGTCTCCAAGCCGATTGTACCCTCGTGTAGCAGTGTGAGCTTGCTGCTTGGTTGAACACGACGCAATGCCTCGTCCAACTGCCTTCCTCCTGCCTATTCGCTTCTCCTAAAATTATGAAAAGTCACAGAAAAGGAATAAAATTTTCACAGCGGTTGCACGACCTATTGAAAGTGCGCGTCTATCACCTACATCAGAGAGCTGTACTCAAATCTCGATTCGGTCCACTACCACCTTGAAACCAACAAACCGCAGCTGCTGTTCCTCACCGAAACGCAGATCAGTTGTCCGACTGACGCAGCGTACCTCAGCTACCCCGGGTACACTCTAGAGCACAGGTTCGTACCTCGTGCCGGAATTTCTGTGTACGTTCGCGATGACATCTGTGTCAAGCGCCTCAAGAACCTTGAGACTCCGAGTTTTTCTGTTTTGTGGTTTCTGGTTGACACAGGAGTTACACAAACAGTGTACTGCTGTGTCTACCGCTCGCACAGTGGAGATCAGGAGACAACCAAGTTGTTCCAACATCTGTGTGAGACAACTGATGAGGCTCAGTTTAGGTACCCAGCGGCGCAACTAGTCATTCTGATGGACTTTAATGCTAACCATCAAGAATCTTTGTTTTTATACCAGATGACCGATCACGCTGGGAGAGAGACGCGTAAACTTGCGTTAACGCTAAACTTTTCCCAGCTTGTCACTGGCGCCACCAGGATCCCTGATGTTAAGTCTACCTTCTGTTAACTACTGATCCAGACCCGATAATCTTTGGTTGTAGATACTTCCGACCATTGTCTGGTGAAAACTGTATCCGTATACTCCCCACCCGATCAGGGCCCTTGTGGTATGAGACGGGTGTGGCGATACAGGTTGGCAGATTGGGATGAAATGCGCTATTTCTTTCCGTCATATCCCTGGCAGGCGTACTTTACATCAGGAGACTCGTGGAGCTGTGCTGATGCTGTAGTCGAGGTCTTGCGTTTGGGTATGGAGTATTACATACCATACTCTGATGTACCCAATGGGCCCCAAGCTCGTCCATGGTTTAATGCTGACTGTAGCTGTGCTGAAGCACAAAAACAGTCCGCGTACCAAGCTTGGGCAGATGCTCGACTGCGCAAAGCTCCGAGTACTCGGAACTTGAAGAAACCTTTTAATAAAGCCGCCAAAAAGTGCAAAAGTGTGTTACGTAGGCCCAAGTTCGAACATGTTCGCCGCATAGGGACCAAGCTTGCGTCTTATCCAGCAGGTAGCAAATCCTTTTGATCCCTGGCCAAAGCGATCGAAACTAACTTTTGTTGCCCATCTTTGCCACCTCTGAATCCGGACGGCACGCTGGCCCATACTGCAGAAGACAAAGCGAATCTTTTTGCTTCACTCTTTGCAGAGAGTTTGCGTCTGGATGCCGCAAGAAACCTACTACCTACCTTACCTCAGCCTGGCTGCACAATGGCGCTAGTTCGCATACACCAAAAAGTGCTACTTAGAACTCTGCGGAATCTAGACATAAATAAAGCTAGCGGGCCAGATGGAATTCCAGCAATAGTCCTGCGTAACTTGCTCCTTAATTGTCTCCTATTCTCACACGCCTGTACCGACTCTCACATGAGACTGGTGTAGTCCCCAGGACGTGGAAGCTTGCAAACGTGCGACCTGTGCCAAAAAAGGAAGCGGAGCTGACCCTGTCAACTATAAACCTATCTCGTCACTCTGCAAGTCTATGAAACGTGTACTCAACAACCGTCTCCTGTCGTACCTTGAACACAACGACCTCCTCAGTGATCGCCAGTACGGATTCCAACGAGGGTGATCTACTGAGGATCTTCTTGTGTATGCCTGTCACACATGGAGCGAGGCTATAGAAAAGCTTGGCGAAGAACTTGACAGGGTTTGGCACGCAAGCCTTTTAAGTAAGCTTCCCTCTTATGGGCTTCCCACTAACCGTTGCAATTGGGTCTCGGGTTTCTCGAGCGAAAGTTCGATTCAAGTAGTCTTAGAAGGCTACTCTTCCGAACATATGGCGGAGTTCCTCGGGGTTCTTTACTATCTGCAACTCTCTTTCTGCTGAATATCAAAGATATGTCAATTCCAGGTACTTTTGCGTATGCTGATGACAGCGCAGCTGTAGATAGGTACTTTACCAATGCAAGGGTCAGTGGAGAGGAAATCCAGCCTTTTCAAGAGTATATTTTTAGTACTTTGGATTTGACATTCAAGGCAGTCTCCGATTGGGTCGATGCCAATCTTGTCAAATTTAATGCTACCAAAACTCAAGCGTGTCTATTAAAGTCTATTCTCCACAAAACTGTGTCCCTTTGAGCTGACTCCGACATTTCGTGATGTATCCATACCTATAGCCGACCGTCTCCAGCTACTTGGAATGGACCTGTCGTCCAATTTGAACTTCGGCAGATACATTGAATCCATGGCCAAAAATGCAACAAGGAGGCTTGGCATCCTTTCCAGGGTGAGGCTTTACTTTACACCGGGCCAGTTGTTCCAGCTGTACCAAGCACTAGTCCGGACGTACATGGAGTACTGCTGTCACCTTAGGGATGGCACTGCTACATACCAACTGGCCACCTTGGATTCAATTAACAACCGTGCCCAGAGACTTATAGATGACTCAAAATTGGTGAAGGCGAAGCTACAGAGCCTTGAACACCGCCGTAAAGTTGTTTATCGGTATTGTATAAGATATCACGAAGAGTGTGCGATTTAATTACACGATTTAATTCCGCCTTCCCCTTTCCATCATCGGGGGACCAGACTTAGGCTTGGGTTATCCCCCTATGTTGTGGATATTCCAGAGAATCGCACGAAGCGTTACGCTTCCATATTTATATGGCGAACGGCTATGGAGTGGAATTCCCTGCCTGCAGACTTGTTCCTTTTCAAGGCGAGAGTGAATAGGTATTATGTGCATGCTCCATCGTCGACTTCATCGTCACTTTCCATCAGGTGAGATGGAAGCCAAATGCGCACTTACATTTTATAAAAAAAAAATAATAGGTATGCATTTTTAACAGAGTCTTGAAGGTCTTCGAAAGGCATGCAATTAGTGTTAGTCTCTAAGCACTATGCAAAGATCAGGTGAAAATGCCACGGGACACAAAGGAATGGAAAAATCTTAATAATTATTTTCGGGCCAGTATGTAATTCATAAAAATATACTTCTCAGGTAATCTACAGCAATAAATTACAATACCAATACTCACCTACCTTCTTTAGTCGTCGTTTATCGAAATTAATTTTTTGTTATAAGTACGCGTTGACCTCCATCTCGCCTGATGGAAACTGACGATGAAACATGCAGACCTAAATAATGCCTATTCACTCTCGCCTTGAAAGGGTCCCTGAAAGATCGCTTGAAATATAACTTCGATACCTATAACCATCTTCGCATGTACCTTGCCATTTATAGAATATACATAGTCGAGCAAGAGGACGAGAAGCCGTTCAACAGGGCTTTGTTGAATAACGTGGGCGCACTGCAGGCCATGGCCGACGGGTTTCCGTGTTTGGTGCTGCATGACGTGAATCTGCTGCCGCTTGACGCAGCCAACCTGTACGGCTGCCTCAGCCAACCGCGGCACATGAGCGCCAGAGTCGACAAGTTCCGCTTCGTGCTCACTTACGACACCCTGATCGGCGGAGTGCTCGCTGTGCGCACCGACCACTACGATCAGCTCAACGGCTTCTCCAACCGTCTCGAGGGCTGGGGCGGTGAAGACGACGACTTCTATAATAAGATCAAAGATAACGGCCTACAAGTACTCAGGTTACTACCTATATTTGACTTACTTACTTGTTCGAACATATCGCGGATTAGTTATTTCGGAGTGAAGTTATCAGCATTCGTTAAACCTCCAAAAATATCTATCGTAACTGTTGATGCGCCGGGTCCATTTATTACTCGTATAAGTATTAGTTGTTAACTTTACCAAATTGCTATTCAAACCTTTCAATTATCCGAATGAGAATATATCTAGCTAAATATAAAATTTACAATTTTATCAAATGAAATATTTACACACTTCTAATTTTGTTAAAATTAATTTCAAATCAATCATATTGTAATTTATTGCGCATGACGCGGTACCTATTCAGTAAATACGTCTGCTGTATTCGGTGCTGAGTGTACACTTTTGCTGGGTCCAATGAAAATCACCGTCTCGTAGTACTTTCAATGCGACAACAATGAGACAATTCCGCACTAACACATCACACACACACACACACTCTATTGTACTATTTTCGTTACATACAAATTTATTTTATTCAATTAGTTGACTTACTTCATTAATAAGTTTCGTATCGTATTAAATCATAAAACGAATAAACATTTTCTATTCCTTCTCGTTCAGATTGGAGCCGGAGCTGTCGCGCTACACCATGCTCGCGCACGCGCCCGTGGCGCTGAACGCGGCGCGGGCCCGCGTGTTGCACGACAACCGGCGCTGGGCGGGCCTCGGCCGCCTCGACGGCCTCGATGGCCTCGACGGCCTCGACGGCCTCGACGAGTTGCGGAGGCGCGCGCGTCCGCGCCTGCGCGCCTACCGCCTGTTCACGCTGGTGGGCGTTCACTCGTAGTGCGTGGTGGGCGGAATAAAAGAATATTGTTTTTAATACAACTTTTATATTTTTTATAAGTAGAGTTTGCTGCCAAGGTTACATAAATCGCGAAACGTGCGCGACGGCGAGTGTGAGTCACACTGTTATAGTTTAATTGGCCGAGTCTTGATCAGAGCCGCAGACTGAAATTCGACTTTTCCCTTGCCGAAGCTACACCGTTGCCGCTGGCGCCTGTTCTGTGTCTCTCGTATTGATCTTCCTAGACGTAGCTACATTTTTAGGTGTTCCAATTTTCGTAACACCTCACTTATAAGCCAGACGTGTCTGAATTACTTTCGCAGCGTTCTTGTTATCGCCAGCGTGCGCCGCTCAGCCGCTGCTGCCGTACGCCTCGGCGACTTCTTGCGAGGGCCGGGTCGAATCTACGTCGGCCAGCCAGTTTTTCACGCTCGTAGTATACTTTTGCTTACGCTGTAAGCGCCTATCCGATGACTCTGATTTAGCTATTTTTATCTTTTTAATAGCAACGTCGATTTTCGGTTAAATCGACTTTCGCTTTGATGAATTTTTGGTAGCAGCGTTGGTGATTTCCGTGTTGCAAATAATTTCACTGACAGTGCTTTCTATAGAAGCACACGAACACATTGTATCTTTATTAAACGTAATCGACGGATAGGGTGTAGGCAACTGCCTAACTAGGATGTAGGCAGTGGACCAGATGACGGCGGCGGCAGCGGCGACGGCGCCGGCGGTGGAACCTCAATGAGAAGCTATTTATCGAACATGTCATTCCATTTGCCGATGATTAAATCGTTACCACTGTCTTCGCGCGTGCCATATGTAAGATGGGATGCTGATTTGTCTTTAAAGGCCTCGTAAGTATAGTCGCGGGCCAGGAATTGGTTGCTGAGGTGATGTAGTGCATTTGCGCTGTCAACATCGCGCTGCGATATTGTGCTGAGGACCTGCGCATTGTTTGTAGCGTTTGTTGTCGTTTGTGTTGGAAACATTTTATTTTTCGGAGCTCGTAAGGCTCTGAAATTATAAGTACGCGGTGTTAGCGTGCTACTACCTACGTATAATGTTACTTGTCTAGATAATTATTATAATAGGTATATGTCAAAATGCAACAAACGCACGGCAAACTGGAACAAATTGAAACCTTAAATGATGCTGCTGAGGTCATTAGATATTAAGTGCAGTCATGATTGAAATGACACATTTCTAGTCCGTTCGATTGGATGTTGGAAAAAAGTTATTATATGAGCAAAGCCGAAATTATCATGTTAAAGAACCCTAAATATCTTACTTAAGTATCGTAAATGTGAAATTGGAGTGCTCGAACAATTGCCATCACAAAATGTTGACTTTATTTGTTGCGACGGGTGTCTACCGGTCCGCAAAGCGATGCAGCCACTACATTTTCTTAACTACCGAACGTTCGGTTCGAAGTGAGATACCACACGAGCGTTGCGTCGCGTCGGCGTTGTGTCGTTGCAACTGCTGTAATTTCAACGGACTGAGTGCCACACGAGCTGTTCCGTCAACGCGCGCTGTTTCAACGCACCGTGTGGCATGTCGTTCTGATTTATATGTAGTACAAAGCATTTGCGATGTCGGATCGCCCGTGTGGCATCTCCCTATGGCTCGATCTCGCTGTCGCGGACGATCTGCGCGTAACGAAGCACACGTGAAAGCATCGTATTGGCACATGCTTAACACAAACATAATAACTAAGCACCATCGAGTATATAACCAGAAACAGAGACGAAATAAGGGCGATATATTCCTGGTAACACATTAGCCATACAGCTCTTATAAATATCAACTCTCGTTTGCACTGAAATATAGACAGGCCAACTAATGACCTGTGTGTACGTCTCCGTATATTCCAAAAGATATTCTGTAATTATTGTAATAAAGATAATAATGCCGTGCTGTTCTATTCGGTGGTGTGGGAAAAACTGCAAAACATCTAATTACAAAACAAACGGAATCACATTTCATCGGTAATTAAATATTAAATATGTAATTTTGCAATATTCGTCCATTATAGCATAGCTCAAGTTAACTGGTCGATTTGAAGTGAAACAGTTGACGACTCCCATTGACGACACCCGTCAATTGTTTCGAACTCGGGCTAGCCAATCGGAGCGCAGTTGTCACAGTAATGATATGGCAGAATAGTTTTCAAACTAACTAAATGACATTTCGTCTCTATTTCTGGTTATATACTCGACCCTAAGCACTAATACTATTCTAATGGTTACTGGCACAATCCAAAAACGAATAATAAAACATACGGTTATTAACAGGCATGTCGCTTACCACCAGGCGCAACATTAGTGCCTTTACTCGAGTAACAGGTGGGTAATACACACTATGTAGTCTACAGTAGTAAATAGCACAAATAAACGCAGGTAAATGTAATTTCATCAGATCCATTAGAAAATGTTACAATCATAAATTATTTACTCAAGAACAATGACATAAAGACAAGTTATTTTTGCTACCAAAATATAATCTGTTCTATTTAGTCAGGAAATTACATATAGATTTTATGTAGTAGTATATAGCAGGGGTTATTATTGATACAAAGATCGAAGACAAAAAAATATTCCTTCGATCTTACTGTTGATACACTGGGCGCTACCATTCTTACCAACTGAGCTAAAAATCGAGTACCCATATATTACCAATTCCTCTGTGTGCTTGTTGCAGATATACTTTGTGGATACTAGATTTAAGCGCCACAGCGCTACCAACGAGAAACTTATAAAAGTTTCTTTACTTAGTCAGGTACCTTTACAGCTCCCAGAGGCAGGCGAAAGATGGCGCTATATTAATAGCAATATTTTTGTTTTATTGAATATCGTGATGTTTTTACTACCATGATATTCATATATTTTTTGTGAAAATACCCACTCTGTTTTGGAACACCACTCGTACCAAATGAGCTACATATCAGCTGATGATATTTAAGAAAATACAGATTGCCATGCACTTTTTTAATAATTATAATATGATTATTATGTTATACTTGCTCTATACAGACCTTGAAGATGCGTTACGTAACAAAAACGACATGTTTATTATAAAATGGTGTTATTGTTTGCTTTCAAATTACCTATAAAGTACACAAGAACCTGAGTCAACATTCGTTCAACATCCTGCACATCGATCAAGTTCCAGTCGAAGAAGTTGCAATACAAAACTGAGATTAACATGGGGTGGCACCCTAGCCGGCTATGATTGATACCTCGACACGTGCGTGGCGATCGTGCATCTCGTATATTATATTTATTATTATTTATTATATATTAACTTGTATAGGATTCCGTAAGCTTGTATTCATTCGTTAAAAGGAAATCATAATAAAGTTCTCAAGGGCGAATGTGTCACCATAATGTGCGATTTAGTATCCAAATACAAGAATTCGTGCAAAATCTCATACAGATACACAATTCTAGCCACCTTGTATTTTTATTCTTAAATGGCTAGAATAAAAATTGTTTTATAAATTGTTATCACCAAAGAATAGGTTTTCCCTAATTTTGCAAAATCAAAATGTACAAGGACTTACAGAAATGATGTTTAAGTACATAAGTTTCAAAGTTTCATAATGGGTTTGATCAAACTTACAAACACTATTTAAGGCATTTAAGACTAAAAATGCAAATCTTAAGGCTAGGCGCAAACCGACGGGCGAAAAGGTAGATGACATTAAATTTATCAATGTTTATTATCTATTTCAATTAAAATAATGTATAAATTTCAATGCTTTGAGAAATGCTCGTATAGCATAAAAACTAGTAAAGATATCGGCAGAGATGATGGCTCGAAAATATATTTCCGCGAGTCCCTGTCGTCTCACACAGCTTACATATTATGGAGAGCTAAGATGATGTTACAGGAAACTGAATTATTTAAGTATGTATGGTGTAAAAACGGCCACGTTCTGGCGCGAAAAGCGGACAAACAAAAAGTCTACTCTATCTACAATGAGAGCGACATTGAAAAATTGCAAAATATGTCACAATGCGGTGAAACAAGTTAAATTGCCCCATGGTCAATGTATTAAATGTATCTACCCTCAATAAATTAAAAATGGCACATAACGAAGATGATACAGCAGCAATACAAGAAAGTAATCACAACAGCTGGAATCAGTTCATGAGTAGTACGAGAGTCTTGAGTAATAATCATATAAATATACTACATGTAAACTTACGAAGTATGCTTAAAAACTTTGCCCACTTAGAACAAATTATATCAACCAGTTTACGGACTATACACATTATAGTACTAACGGAAGTAAATATTTCCGATGACTGCACTAAATTGTTTAATTTGCCTAACTATGACATGCATACAGAACTACGGCGACACCGGAAAGGAGGAGGAGTTATATTGTATGTACACAATAACAGCATATGCTTCACCAGAACACCAATAAGTACAAGATATTTTGAGTGTGTAGTCGGAGAAATTCATACAAGTTATGGTTTAAAAATGGGCATCTGCGCTGTGTACCGTCCGCCTCGGATAAGTAAATCTTTGTTCATAGAAGAGCTATCGAGTGTAATTAGGCAATACTCATGTAAGTGTAACTATGTTTTACTGGGAGATATGAATATCAACTTAAGAGAACATGATTCAGTGCGAACATCTTATTTAAATACTATTAGCGAATACGGAATGGAATGCGGTATATCACAATATACACGTATTGAAGCGAAAGGTGTTCTGATAACCAAGTCCTGCATTGATCACATTTTCGCTCGTCTAATTGACTGCAAAGAAGCGCACTCATCTGTGATAAAGTATAAGATAGCCGACCACTTCATAACCGGTTTAGTGTTGGTTCATAATACGCTCGTTAACTGCGATAGTCACAAGATTATAACTAGAATAGATAATAGTAAGTTACAAACAGAGTTACGTAAAATTGATTTTAAGTATCCATTAAGTTTAAATTGTCCTAGTGAAATATTAAAATATATAGCAAAAAATTTTAG